AAGCAGTCACCCCCCTGGACATGCGCCATTTTTAGTATTTCCAGGGGGGTGACTGCTTCTGTTTACGGTACTTGCTGAGTGACGAATCATGACGAATAACGCTTACACAAAAAACAATGGAGATGGACTTCTGTGTAGTATTCTGTGGTACAGGGTTCGAAATAACGGTTCGTGATTCGTGAATCACGAATCAATTTTCATTTTTCACGAACCTAATTTCATAGAAATTGATCAAAATCACGAATCAAAAGTCTCTCAAATTGATAAAAATATACAATAATAAATTCAGTTCTTTGTAAATGTGATGAAGGATCATATATTCTGAAGATATTGTTGTTAGATTGTACTTAAAAACGATTATAATTCCACCCAAAATTCCATTTTTTTGCGAGTTTGTGATGTATATTATATATTTGAAAATTGCAGTGCTTCCACTTTTTAACTTCCAATTAGCGAAAATTCCTTGACAATTCCTTAAAATTTCCTTAAAATAAAAAAAATAATTCACGAACCATTTTTTCACAATTAATTCGAACCCTGCAGTAGTCAGTTAACCCCATTCAGACCCTCTTTTTATAAGCGATTCGTCATCAATCACGCCATCCTGGCTAGTACAACCGGCTCTTTGTATACCTAGCAAAACCTGATAAAAACTTCCGGTTGTACTAGCCAGGATGGTGTGAGCAAGTTAAAATTTTCGTGGACGTAAAACAATAAGGGAAACGACTAGAGTTACGCTTCTGCTATAGCTTCTTATTCTGTGATATAGCCTGCGAACAGGCTCTCAAGCTGAATTGAGAGCCTGCATCGATGACAAAGGAATTTGAATATCTGCCCCGTAACGTTCGTGTTTCCAAATATGGAATGTCTATCCTTATATGGTGTTGTTTACAACTTTCGTGCAACTAAATTTAGACCGTGCAAACTAAATTTAGACCGTACAGTTTATACTGTTTTTCGAAATATAAGATATTCAAGCAAAAGTTCCAATGTTTTAAATACTGTTTTCTCAAAACAGAACATTTCGTGCTTTGAGATAAGATGGCCAAGACCAATTT